TAAACCAGGAACTGCCCGGGATATCTCAGCCAATGCAGAGTCTCCAATGCAGAATTGTTAAGTGTGTAATGTAAAAATGATGTCATGTGTACACCGTGCTCACAAACTCTTAGCACGAATTGTGTCCATTTTTCTCAATGAAATGGAACGGTGAGCAGCAGTGAACAAAACAATGAGAATTATTTGCACCAGTGAAAAGAATTCGCGGCTGCTCATTTCAGCAAGTTAATTTTTCCTTTTTTTAGGTGAAGAAAGAAAAAGGTAACTTGCTGAAATGAGTACCAGCGACTTCTTTTCACTGGTGCAACTGCATTGCACATATGAGGCTCGTTTATAGGAAACATACAACTGATCTAAACTCCTCAATTTCTGAAAAATGGATAAAGTAAAAAAAAAATGTAAATCTTGAATCAATACTTTTTTTTATTATCTATACCTTAAAGGAAAACTCCAAACACCATAACCACTAAACACTTCAATGTTTATGGTGCTTGAAGGGTTCCTTTAAACTATAGATAATAATGTGCTATTGCTCTTAAACTAGTCTGAAAGGACCGTGTTTAAGGACAAATTGTCATGCAATTCCTCTGGTACCTAGTAAAACCACTAGACTTTTTATATAAATATATGGAAACTTTGCCTCATTATTATTATTATTATTATTATTATGTTATTATTTATATAGCGCTAACAAATTAAAGCCAAGGTGCACATACTGTTTTGTGTCTTGCTGCAGATTCTGGTAACACCTATGGTGTGGAGCAGGATGATACATGTAACGCGTATTTCAATAGGAATGCTTGGAACAAACCCAAAAGCTGTCAGAAACTCTGTATAAATGTCAGATAATAAAACCAGAGGAGAACCTGAAGCCCTTCCTTTTTTTCGATGAGCAAACAACGTCCATGCTGGTAGATGTTTATTGATTGATTGAAGGGTAATAGGTTACCTACGAGACAGTAAAAATAAAATAGAATACATAAAATACAGCGAGGCGTGAAATCCAATATAAAAATCTTTAAACCGGATTTAAAGGTAAAATGCAAGCATAAATATATCTTGTAACGTCTCACCTGTGCCTAAAGCAAGGAAATCATTTGCAGTCTCTCCAAAACTGCAATGATTTACATAGCAGGAATAAGTGTGACAGAGACACTGCATCAGGACCACGTCAATGACGTGTGAAGGCATTACTGCGCCATTTTTGTACATTATGTTTCTTGATTGTGTCACTTATTTCCTACCACTAAACCTATTGGCATTTACAATTAGTATTGTATAATTTAAAGCTGACCTTTGCATTGTATAATTAAGTAAATATTATACATGCATAACATTTTTAGATTCGGGTCACTACTGTACAATTGCTCATGCGAGACAGCATTTCTCATAAATGTTATATGAAAAATAAAATGTCATATATACATTTGCTGTCAAGCTGATTGGAACGACATATGGATGAAATGCTATACATTATATAGTGCCCCCACTTTCCCATATTACAAAACACTTTTTCTTGTATTGCCCAATAACAGCATTTGGCCTGTCACCAATATATGACATTACTATGGTGCCGCTCTGTATTCCTGACGCTGTAGTGTCCCTACTATTTTCTTGGTACCCCTCCAGAAAAACTAACTAAAATACATTTTACTTTTTCTGTTTCCAGCGCCAAGGCTCCATTGGCGTTACTGACCGCTACTCCCACGCCGACCTCAGGGTCTACTCCATTGATTCTCATACAGGAGCATTGGGAATGCGTGACAAATATTACAAATTCCCCATAAGAAAGTGTTGACTCAATGCTTTCTTCTGTGGTTTCTGCTTCATGTGACCAAGTATTACTCAGTCTGTGCTGTGGAAGCACTTATAGTGTCTATCAGTATGACAGCAACTGGAGTAGGGGTTAATCCTAAAATGTAAATGTTGCCTTTTTTCAAAAACTGCAATATTTTACATTGTAAAACTATGTGGAACTGGGACACTGCACCCAGACCACTTCAATGAGATAAGGTGGTCTGGGTGACTAAAGTGTTCCTTTAATTCTAGAGGTTTCTAAAATTATTCTGAGATTGGCAAACGTAAAAGGTCTCAATGTCGTGAAAAGTAACAATCATTAAGATTAGTTTTTTATTTAACTTGAGGAAGTGTCACTTCAGGCAGTGAGTGCTACTTATTCCTTACCCTCTAATGGATTTATTGGGATTAAGAGTGCAGTGCAGGTTAGTCCAAACCACACTTCCAGAGCTTGTAGGTGTCAAGGGCAGTGACGCTATGTTTATGCATACTCACGAGAATTAGTTGGATTCAACTTAATTCATATAACCATTCACAGTGCTCCAATGGTACCTTCTATTAGTTATGTCTTACACTAGAAAAAGAGTCTATGTAATCTGGCATGGAATCAATAGGAATGTCAGAGTAACTGCTTGCTCGTGCCTTGTGTTCCCACTTCCACTTCAAATTGTCGTCCTGTCCCTTCTCACATGTCAATTTGAAACTTTCACCAAGTCCCATGCCATTCTGGCATCAGTTGTGATGCTGGACATGGTATCACCATGTCAATTTATGACGCAGCATACGTGCATCATCTTATGTTGTGTTTTGGGCATGCAACAATTAAGCATATGGTGTTGATCCCATTTTACCTATATAAACTCATTGTGACAAATTGACTGTGACCTGTTGTGGTTTCTGTTGTACCCAACACGCTTTCCTTGGTATATTGACCCAGCTTGTCTCGACTTTCCTGCTCTCTGGTATCCTCTGACTCAGCCTTTTCTAACGTTTGCATGTACCTCTCCTGTCCATGACCCTGGCCAGTATTTTGACTATTCTCCTGTCTTTTTTTGCATTAAGCCCAGCTACCTTAAGGACTCTAATAATACATGGTAGGTGTTGGTTCAAGTACTCCTTGTTTAAGTCATCTCTACATTGTGACAAGGAGAGATTGATATATTGGTGATACCATCCCATTCATTCACTTCAATGTGAAATAGAAAATAATTATTTTAAGACATGATGTAACATTTAGGTTCACGCTATATTTACCCCCAAAACAACCACAACAATGCACAAAAATTGCTGATTTTTATGATTATTCTACAGAAATAAGTATAATAAAATGCACTGGGAGTGAAATAGGTGGATAATATGTAGTTATATTTCTAACTAGATGGTGAAGGTATGTGAGTGTCAATGGACATCGTATCAATGCGTTTATGTTCACCCCCTTGTTTCCTGCCAAACACCTCCACAGTAGCACTATTGGCATAAACAAGACTCATATCCAGTTTGTGTTTTTTCATAGTTCTCAACTGCCGAATTGTAATACTTCTCTTCATACCTGAAATATTTTATCTGTTTAATTACAGGTGTTTTCTGAACACTTTCCCATTCCACAGTATATTTTTCTGCCCAACATTGTAGTTTGTGTTCAAGGTGACATGATGCAACCAAGATTCTAAAGAATGCTAAAGTAAATACTTATACAGCCTTTTCAAATCATGTTGAAAAACATGAATTTCAATTTTTGCAGTTTTGCAATGACAAATACGACGCCTCATATTTTAATTATCATCCTTTATTTGCTTTATTTTACATAGAGTACACAGAAATAACTTCACCACAGACGCGAAATTACTAAAGCCATACCCAGGGGCGGATCCAGAACCTAATCTCGGGAGAGGCACTGATAGATTATTTAAAGAAACAACCCAGGCACAATAACCACTACAGCTCTCTGTAGTGCCTGTGTTGTTTCTTTAAATACAGCTCTCTGTAGTGGTTATGGTGCTAAGAGTGCCATGGTGCCCTTCCAGGGATTAGGGACAGTAGTAGGGAATAGGTGCATTGTGTGTGAAGGGTACAAATGTGTATGGGGGCAGGAGGGGTGTAGTGTGTGTATGGGTGGCAGAATGTGTGGGTGGTAGGAGGGGTGCAGTGTGTTTGTATGTGGGCAGTGTGTGTGTTTATTGGAGACAGTGTATATTGGGGCAGTGGTGTTTGTATTGTGAGCAGTGTGTGTATTGGGGGGCAGTGTGTGTTTGAATATATTGGGGAGCAGTGTGTGTGTTTATTGGAGACAGTGTATATTGGGGGCAATGGTGTTTGTATTGTGAGCAGTGTGTGTGTGTGTATTGGGGAGTAGTGTGTGTATTGTGGAGCAGTGTGTGTGTGTGTGTGCACCCATTGGGGATCAGTGTGTGTGTATATATTGGGGATCAGTGTGTGTGTTTGTATTGGGGGCAGGTTGTGTGTGGGGAGTGAAAATAAATATATATATATGGTTTGGTTTTTTTTGTTTTTTTTTTAATTAAAATAATTTTTATATCTCCTCTCCCTTTTTACCTTTGCTGAGGGAGGTGTGGGGGGGATATTTCCTGCAATCCCTGGTGGTCCTAATGGTGAGAGTGAATTCTAGCCTGCAGCTCAGGCTAGAGTTCACTCTCGCGAGAACCGGAACATTGCCATGGTAACCGCGGCAATGTTCTGTGCTCGCGGCAGGGAAGAGCAAGGCACTGTTGTTTCTCATGGGAGAATGGGGGGCAATTGCCCTGTTGCCCCCTCCATTGGGGTCGGCCCTCAGCATACAAGACCACAGAGAGAGCACCACTAAAGCATTCTGTTACTGGTCCTAGTGCTGCGCAGACACCAGGGAGCTTAATCATGATGGTGATGGAATCCTAAAATATGGTCCATGCCATCAAAATCTACACAATTGGCAGGCCTGTTAAAGCACATACCCTTGTTGATCACCTTCCTTTGGCATAAGTAGATGAAGAACAGAGCTGTGTAGTGGTTACAGTAACCATTTGGGAGGAGAGCTGAATATAAGGAGACCTGTTTCCTGGCTTTTTTTTTTTTTAAATAGAAGAACATAACCAAGATAGGACATCAAACTGTGACAGCTTCATTCTGTAACACACAGCACGTTGAGGAGGAGCAGAACAGAGGTCTGTGTTTGTCTTACACAAACCCTCTAAACCAGGGGTTCTCAACCTTGCCCTCAAGGACCCCCTACCAGTCCAGGGTTTAGGGATTACCTGGGTGTGTCTAAGGTTTTTTTTTCTTCCCTTTTTCTAAACACCTGAGACACACCCAGGTAATCCCCAAATCCTGGACTGGTAGGGGGTCCTTGAGGGCAAGGTTGAGAACCCCTGCTCTAAACCGTTGATTTACATGCTGGACTATTTGAGAATTGTTGGGCAGTGAAAGGGAATTCAAAGTGAATTTCAAATTTAAAGACAAAATGCTGAACTGAACTGTTGATGGGGGGACGGGGACCTAATGCGCATGCCTATGCATTGGGCCTCGCCTGTAGGAAAGCAATACCTTGGTGCTTTCCTATGGGGTTATGCTTGATGCAAACTCTCTAAAACTGCAATATTTTGCATAAAGTGCAGGGTTAAGGGTAGTAGGATGATGCACCCTGACCACTTCAATGAGATGAAGTGGTGTGGGTGCCCATAGTGTTCCTTTAAGACTGTGTGCCAAACCATCCAACGCTGGACAGCGACGAGCATTGGCCTAGTCCACCCCCTGCTAATAAACTAGGGGGATGCAAGTCAAAGGCTCTTTGCTCTTTAATCACTACAATCAGCCACTACAATTAGTGGTTGTGGTGCTTAGTGAATTCCTGTAAAGAACATTTGCAAGATGAGTGGTGATAACTCATGTGTGTCATCTTTTTGAAGTCCGATTCTTCTGATCTCTTCCCATCTGATTCTTCATGCAAACAACACCGGCGGGCATTTCAATATGTCACACCCTAGTTGTAACTGTCTCATATCTGTATCATAGGCTTACATTTTTCACATTTTTATTTCATGAAACAAAAGCCATCTTTAGTTCTTGGGGCGAGGAGCAAGAATGCAAGTAGTGTTACATAATTTAAAAACAAATTGTAAAAAAAAAAAAAAAAATCTAATAATTAATGTTCAACTCGCTCTACTTACATATTGGCCATTTCAGTTTACATTTTGCAAATAGGGTTTTGCTTTCACCACAATTAAGAAATTTTACCATGAGTTTTGCAATTCAGAGTTTGCAAGTAACTCTACTAGAGATTTTACATGGCTGAAAAGAGACATGGGTCCATCAAGTTCAGCCTTTCTCATGTAGTCTTCTCTTTGGAATAATGAGTCTGCTTCTTAGTAGTTGGGCTGGGGGAAAATGATCCCATAATGACCGTGGACAAAAGTGCCCAAATGAAATCTTTTAAAGGAGAATCGTCACATCCTTGGAAATTAAACCATTGGAAAAAAAAATGTTAGAAATCACCTATAATTTACATTAACTTTTTTCATATGATGATCTATTTTCCTCTAAATATGTATTAAATATTTTGCAACCGGCAGTCCACACACAACGAGGAGCACATGTTGCAAATGTGGAGGAGAAATTCTGTATGTAAACTCTTTGCTGACTGCCAAGTGGGAAGGACAGAGCTCATAATGATTCACTGGGAGATACAAGAATAAGCAAAGAGGTGTGGATTTCTACATTTAATTATATTTTCTTAATTTATATATTACTGTATAGATATAGTAATGTATTTCTTTTTTGTTTAATATAGGGATAATTAAACATAATATCGAAACCCTGGAAAGTGAAAGTTCCACATTAATTGGCAACGAGGTGTTTAAGCAATACATTTATGGTGATGATATATTTAAAAAAATAATAATAATGAATGCACAGTCTGTGACTTAACGTTTAACATGTAATATCCTTAAACCATGCAATATTCACAGAAACAGAGGTAAATGGGGTAGAAGAGGTGTTAGGTCGTCACTGTCTAAATATGATTTTAATTTAATCAATTTCAATGTCATTTTGTTGAAATGTTTTGCATATTTTTTTTTTTTTAAACAAATCTATTCACATGATGAGTGTGCCTGCATGAGATATTGTCTATATTTTGTTTATTGACCCTACAGTTTTGTCATGTTCCAAATTTAACCATAACTGGTTTCCTATATTGACAAAGCGGAGAATATCATCACACCATTCTTGTCTACAACCTTCATGTACAAGGGCGAGTATCACTCTCTATATGTCTGCGCAATACACCTTGTCAGCCAGTTAGAATGTTGTCAGGCAGGTTTAGCTGAGCTTTGGGGTGGCGATGGTATGACAACAAACTATGTTGATACAGACACACCCCCGGAGGAATCAACAAGTAGCCAGACACACCCTCATTAAAACAGGCTTTGGTTAGTTTTAGAGAAGCCCAAAATGGGAACTGTTACAATGGATAAAAAAAAAATAAAAAAAATTATTTTGTTATTTTTTTTTTAACATGTATTTTATATCTAAGCTGGAAGTTGCTTGGGCTAGTACTTCATAGTACTGCTAGACATTAAAAAAAAAAAATAACTTTAGCTCAATTTGTACCTGCTAATTTTTGCAAAGCTCCCAGAATGATATATGTATTTTCTTAAGATGCATGTCGTTTTTCTCACATGCTACAACTAGTCTATATTGAAATAATGGCAGGAAGGTTGTTTCTTGTCGTTCAGTGTTTCAGCATAGAGAAGCACTTGTGTTTATTTGAAACTTGTAGAAATTAACTTAAAGGGACACTATAGGCACCCAGACCACTTTTGGCTCATTGATCTGGTCTTGGTGGTAATTATTGCAGTTTCTGAGAAACTGCAATAATTATCTCTCAGGGTCAACTCCACCTCTAGTGCCTGTCTACCAGACAGCCACTTGAGGGACTTTTAATCGTCTAAATGACATTGGACATCCTCACGCTTTGCATGATGACTTCCAGCGCCATTTATTAATGGTTTCCTATGGGGAAATCCTAATGTGAAAGCGTCCATTGCCGCACATGCATATTGGGTCTCCCGTGCTGGCTGATGAGAGGAGCAGGGACGGAGCCTGACCCCTTCAGCGCTGCTGGAGGGAGGTTGCTTTGTTTTCCTGGTACTATAGAATCCCTTTAACTTTCCCCCATCCCCATTATCCACAATCAGGCACAATCTTAAACTTAGTACAGGGGCAAGGAAAAAAAAATACATAGAATTAGTTAATATATATATATAGGTTCCTCTTGATTAGTTCATAAAAAGTCAATACTGAACTAGACAATGCTTCATCTTTCAGGCTGTGTTACAGACAATTTTTTAAGTGACTCACAAGGTAAAGATCAATTTAACACATGGCTCAGCCACGTTTCCCAAAGGACATTTTATCATTTTTATATAAATGTATAACAAAATATAGTTGGATAACTACAACAACTATGATACTGGCAAAGCATTTAAGGAGTTCTGTTTCTGCAAATGCTGTGATGCTAGTACGGACCAGTCCCTTTGATATTATATTTAGATATTATTATACAAATATTGAAATCCTAGTTTAATCTCAATCAATAAGAAAAGAATTATGAGTAATTTTAAAGAAAACTGTAAATTTTAGGGCAGAATAACTGATCTAGACTAACCACAGCATTGAAATTTTTTTTTTCCACTTTGGGTTATTTTGACATAAAATGTGCATTTTTCCATGATTTTAATTTAGTGTATATTTTTATGCTTATGGGGATAGAGATAAATTTAAGTATGCATTTTATTATTTTATATTTAAATTGAAGTCTCCCAGTCAGCTCTCAATTACTTATATTTTACATTATTATTCTATTTTGTCGCTTAAATTATAGACTGTATTCGCCCAACAGCTATTCAATATATTCAACGCAACTTACTCAATGATTCTTATTTTATACATGAATAATATGAATTGTAAAACTTCCCTTTTTTTGGAGGGCATATCATGATCACTAGACCAGCAATGTTGTTTCCAGCTACCTTAATAAGATCAGCTGGATGTGCACACTGACATGATCAGCCTTCTGATGAGAGAATGCTGACAATGCACTATCCTGGGTCAATATCCCTGCACTATGGTGACCGCATTGCCACTGTGTTTATGCATGCTTTTACAAAATGCATCCATTAAGGCTGGAATCTGTAAAATGTAGACAGTAATTTGCAGTTTTCAAATTCAAGATAACAGTTTTACCCCTGGTAAAAGAATATGAGAACTATGGCAGCCAGAGGAGAAATTAAGAGCATCTTGCTAAGGGTGTTACATATGAATGAAGTGTTATATCAGAGCATTAGTGGGCTTTTAACCCCTTAAGGACCAAACTTCTGGAATAAAAGGGAATCATGACATGTCACACATGTCATGTGTCCTTAAGGGGTTAAAGGGACACCCCACAAAACAATACCTGCTATAGTTTGTTGGAGTGGTTATGGTACTAGGAGTTTTTGGTTAAAGTCGCTCAGATTTTTCACACCGTTTTCAAGTGTATGCAAGCACTTGGGGATAGGAGGATTCACCCATCAATTAGTGTCACCAAAGAGGTGACTAACAATGGCACATCAAATCCTCTTATCCGTTAACACCCGTGGCCAATCTTGCAATGAGTGCTCAAGCCCCACCAATATTTTAGATATCAAGGAAGGGAACTGCCTTATTATGATGTCTCTGGGAAACTGGGTGAGGTAAGAGAGATGTCACCCATAGTCTTGTAGCACCATAACCACTACAATAACCTGTAGTTATGGACATAGGAATGTTCCGTTAACATATCCCACTGGTGTGATGGAAGGAAGGTTGACACTCTGGGAAATTACAGAAAACTGTGAGCAAACAGCGTCAAACGTTTGTAGACTGCAAGTCCTTCATTGACCAAAGACAGTCCCTGCAATAAGTTTCAGCCAGACCTTTGTCCAGTGTTTCCACAATTGCTGAATTCTCTCTGTCCTCGTTTTATTGAATGCATGCAGTGAGGTTGTTCAGATGTATTTGGGTAGGTCATATACTTACCTGTTCACATTGAAATCTCCCAGCTTCTCTCTGAATAGAATGCTTTAATAAAAATGCATTAACAAGATTACTTTGTAATAAAATGTTAAACTTAAAAGAAACATTTTTGATGTAGCTTTTGTTTAAAAGACTCCAAACACTTGTATCCAGTTAGACAGCTTTTAAACGCTGATCAATGCAGTGGTGTACGTTTAATGATTTATAAATAAACAGCAATAATTGTTCTAGCTAATATAAATATTAATGTGAGACAAAGTAACAATTGTTAACGTACATTATATAACTTTGTAATAATGGTATAAAT